TTAAAAAAAAAAAAAAAAAAAAAAAAAAAAAAAAAAAATCCAAAAAAAAAAAAAAAAAAAAAAAAAAAAGAAAAAAAAAATATAAAAAAAAAAAAAAAAAAAAAAAAAAAAAAAAAAAAAAAAAAAAAAAAAACTTCACCAAATTTAGAATAAAAAATAAAATTAAAAAATCATATTTATATTTTTATTTATTTTTATTTTTTTGGCCCGGCCGGGCAAGTGAAAAGGGGACCTCTTCCGGATTACTCCTCACGGGTGGGGTACAAGCTTCAATCCAAGGCCTCGACTCTGCAATTCAGAGTGTGGGACTAATGGAACAGACACTCCAGAGATCTCAACTTGAGGGCCCCAGAGCTTGGCTGGGTCCTTTTCTTCATCACTATAATACTGGAGACTCTTGAAGTCAAGTTGGCGGGCCTCCAATGGCTCCATTTGCACAACTGTGTACCTACGGCAACATGGTGTGCCGAAAGAGGTATGGAAATACCAACGACATGCGATGTCTGCCCCCACCAGTCTCTAGAGGACTCCTCCCACTTGTGGTGGGAATGCGTGGTGGCCAAAGGATTCTGGGACTGGCTAAGCAGATTGTGGTTCGCAGCCTATAAGGACTATGTTTATTGGAATAAGGCCCTGGTTCTTTTCGGGGATCAATCTAACTCTCGTAGAGCTAAGACTGTTAACAAGTTTCGGAGTATAGGTTACTGGGTCTTATGGTTAGCTCGCAGAGACCGGAGATTTAATAACTCTCATTGTGCGGTATCTCGCCTGGGCAACTCTTTCAAAAGTGCAGTTAGGACCCTAATCTTGGCAGAATGGAGAAAAGGGAGATTTATGTCTCCCTCACTCTCGGAGGCACAGAAATCTATGCTCGGCTCTTGGGCCCCTGAGTTTCAGTGGATTCGGTTCTGAGATAACAAACAGTTAGTCTTCTCCCGTCACCTGTGGGATGAGAAGGAGGATCACATCCTCCCTCAGGACCCGGAAGCCTTCCCTTTGTGAAATTGTCTTGTTGTGATTGTAAGGGACGCTGGACCCGATTTCCAGCAGGTGCAGCTCCCCACCAATGGAACGGAGTAATCTAAGGGAGGATCCTCAGACAGGGAGATGCTCTTATCACTTCCTGGCTGAGGACCACCGCCCAGATTTTCAAGGGAAAAAAAAAAAGAAAAAAAAAAAAAGAAAAAAAAAGGGGACCTCTTCGAGTACAAGACAACAGAGTTGGATCAAAGATTTAAAAAAAAAAAAAAAAAAAGTTAGTAGAAAAAAAAAAAGTAGGCAAGTGGCAGAATGAGGCAATCTAAGGGCCCACTCACACTACCAAGTATTTTCGCAGAATCTCTCACAATGCGTGTTCACACAAAAGGGCACGTAAATGTCAGGGGCCTGGACAGCCGCGGGCTTACATATTTTGAGGGATCTCCCCTCAAAATCGTTTTTTATTTATTTATTTATTTATAAATAAGGCTAATTCTTTAAGCCCAACCAATTCAATTACCTATCAAATCTGGACAGGACGGCCTTTCAAGCCTTTTTTATTGTCATTATAGTGTTACGGGGAACCCCGTAGCTGCCACATCCGTGCTCAAGCCTCCGACGAGGGAACATGCGGGAGCTGCACCCACCAGCAGGTGCGATACCTGCTACAGCAGGTGGGCGATACCGGCCAGGGGTCAGCCGGTAGCATCAGGACCGAGGTTCTTTGATGGGCCAGTCACTGTGCCTCCCCTCCGGTCCCCTCCCCCTATGAACATCAGCAGTCTCTGCTCAATGCCACTTGGGGGGACCAACGGCATATCTCTAGGTGGCAGGCGCCAAGCTTGCCCAGGAAGGTACATGAGGCCATGGGGATTGAACCCAAGACCTCCTGAATGCCACTTGCGTGCCTTACCAACTGAGCTAGGCCTCTGGATTATTTCTTTTTCCTCTACTGCTTTCTGGAAGCAAAAAAAAAAAAAAAAAAAAGTTTATTGTGCTGTCTGACTGCAGACAACCTATTTTCGCGTCTCGAGGCCTTGAGAGGTCGCGACCCTGTCTTTTCTGCTTTGCCTTTTGGGCAACAAACGGGTCACCAGTGTGACCCGCAGGTGCCATATAAACGCAGATTTTTTTTCTTTTTTTTTAGTTAAAGTAATTAAATTCAAACACTACAGAAAAAAAAATAAAAACATAAACAAAAAAATAAAATGAAAAAAGCCGTTTTTTTTTTTGTTTTTTTTTTTTCACATACGTAAAATTTGCAGAAGTACGTGCTAGTGTGAGTATGCCCAAAAGTAGGCTCTGTTTATAGTCAAGGGTAGTGGTGGTCAGTCTGGCTCTATTTATCTGGACGAGGTAAAGCCCAGATTCAGATGAGAGTTCAAAGCGAAAAAACTATCAGTGGAAATATGCGTATACGTCGATCTAGAGGACTGCTTCGTGGGCTGCTTCGTGGGTCATAGGCAGCGACGAAAAGAGGACAACAAACAAGAGGCTGTGACAGAGGCTGATCAGGACAAATTGCATCCCAATCTCTCTCTCTCTCTCTCTCTCTCTCTCTCTCTCTCTCTCTCTCTCTCTCTCTCTCTCTCTCTCTCTCTCTCTCTCCTCTTTTGCAACTTCCACCGTGCTTATGATGAGCCTGGTGTTTGGCAGTCGGTAATGAGCGTGCACACGTAGCCTGAAGTAGGTGCCTTTTCCTGACATAGGATTCTTTTTTTTTTTCTTTTTTTTTATCAGGTAGGAAACGATGTATCGTATCAGTGATGGGATGTTGGGGCTCGCCACACAGGCTTTCGAAACGCGCAAAATTGAGGCCGTGTTCTCGCCACACAGCCTTTCGAAACCAGTTCTTTCGAAAAAAGTTTCGAAAGGTGTCAGATGGGCCGGCGTCGAAAGTCCTTACGAAGAGATGAGCTCCTCCCGCCTGTCACGAGCCTTTCCTCGAAAGACCTCGAGTGGTCTTTTGAAAAGGCACACCTGGCGGCATTAGGCCACTGTGGCTATGCCTTTACGGGCATGAGTTTTGATGAGAATTAGAATGAATACTATTGATAGCAGCTTTTAGAGCCCTGATTTAAATGGAATTACAGTGAATTTGGGTTTTCTAGTGTCTACATTTCCTTAACCTTTTTGAGCTTCAATGACTTATTTGGAAGAGTCCTATTTTTAGAGGAAAAGGGACGCTGGACCCGGTTTCCAGCACTGTTCTGGTGGGAGTTTTTCTCCTGTCCATTCTCCGGGTTGTTTGTGAGGATTCCCGGCCTCCCATTTCCTTTGATAATAAAATTGCAAGGTTTCTTCCAAAAAAAAAAAAAAAAAGGCACACCCGAAACGGTTGATCGGTCGGCCAAAAAAAAAAAAAAAAGGGGCTATTCCAAGGGCGTGGCTCCAGTACTTGCAAACGACAAAAATTATGGCCAGGTATCTTTCCATGTTCTAGGCAAAGATTCAGACTCTCGTTTTTTAGCAATGAGCCAGACCCTAATGTGCATTTATCGAAAGGCCTGGGTGTTTCGAAAGTCTGTGTGACGAGGGGGGGGGGTTCCTTTCGACGAGCAGACTTTCGAAAAAAGTCTGACACCTTTCGAAAAATGCCTTTGTTCGAAAGCCTGTGTGCCCCGTTCTCGACATCGGTTCCATTCCTTTTTTTCTTTTTACTTTTTCTTCCCCCGTCATCCGTGTCCTTGAGGATCCTATGTCTGAAACTTCCTCAGCATCTCACTCCCGCCCACTCTGCCTTGCCCATCCCGCGCCCTACTCATATGCCATCTACTCTGCTCATACGCACTCATTAACACCGAAGAATCAATCCTCTTCAAAATGTTCTTTGGAGAATTCTTCAACCATTTTATTCATGAACCCGTCAGTTCATGAACCCGTCAGCCGCCCACACAGCAAAACAAAAACCACAACGGCTGTCCTCCCGGGGCCAAGTCCCACTTAGCCAAATGATCTATTTCTGACCGCAGATTTGGAAGATCAACGACCCGAAATCAAGAATCAGCGTAAGTGGGACTTGGTCCCTGCTGGACGCACGGCCCGTGATAAAAGGCTGCCGAGTCGTGCCGACCTCACCCTGCATGCGTAGAAGCCACACCCCCACCATCGCGCGCATGACCAACCTTTGCTT